AGAGGCTTAAATAAATCAGTCACTTTTATCTAAATGCTATTTCTTTTCCCCCAATTCTAGAATAATTATATCTATTAATACTGATGGAATGGTCTATTTCTACTACAGATTTAGGTGCCTCCAATCTACAATTGATATGGCATTACATAATAGATAATTTCTACTACAGATTTGGCTAACTCAAATCTACAATTAATATGACTTTATATAAAAAGATATTCTCTAATCATACTGCCTAGAGCTAATGGCTACACAAAGAAACAATCTTCACTTTTGCCAAACTTAGCTGAGCAGTGAAAGTCTATTAACATACTCATGACAGATGAATTCTACTCATGTTATAACAAATTGGGCCCAATATGGGTGGCAACTGATTATCTATGCCTTGTGCAATCTAGCGTGCCCTGAGTGTAAAACCACATTTCAGCCCCATAAAAAAAATAATAATAATAAAATAAATTAATTAATAAAAAATAAATAAATAAATTTTCTAGCCAAAAGTGTAGAGAGGGGGGTACATGGATGCCTCTAATTTCTCACTTGAGCAACTGACTATATGTAATAGCTGGTGCATGGCTAAGTATGGTATGGAGAACCCCATTGCTAATGGGGTGATAATGGGTTGCCTGATAGGTGATGGATGCCCAGGCTGGTTATAAGACCAAGTCCACTAATGGCTGTCACATAAAAAAATGAATTTTACAAAAAGTATAGAAAGTCTTTATGAAGGTATTAGGGATATTCTTTCTTTGATTTTCAATAATTTATTCTCTCATATCTATTCATCCATTCTCTCTTTATCTCCCTTTTCTTCAATTATTCCCTAAGGGTCATTTATTCATTTACTCATTTTCTCTTTTTCACATCCCTTCTTTCTTTTAAAAAAATCATGCATATCTGAAATACTAGTTATTCTGTACCAAACATAACAGCAGGGATAGCCAGTCACTTGGTGTAAAGACATCTGTGGCCTGGTGTATTTCTTGGGTAATTTCTATAGAAACTGCTTGTCAGATTTTATGTATTTGTCAATGAGAATTGGACAATTGTTAAGTATACAATAATTCCATATCATAATAATCTACAATAATAACAATATGACTGAAAATAATATATTCTGAGTCCTCTTTCTACTGTCATTTATAAATATGTAACTATAGAATCATCCAAAAATGTTAACACGGATGTGCATAGGATCAACTTTAAAAATATACAAAAAGTACTTACATAATTAAATATTTATCATATATATTCTAAATGTAACTCTATCACAACAAAAATCAAAGTACCTTATGAGTGCAATTGGAACCTCCTATGCTTGTCTCCATTGACCTAGCAAAACTCCATATTCTTATTTCCTTTGTAGGCCCTCCTCTGCCAGTTGTATTTTCCTGACTCTTTTCTTGAGAATTATAATTTTTTTTTTTATAATTTAGTTTGATTCCATTTGTTACAATGGATATTCTTGGTGTGACATACTGTCTGTTTTATTTTGCTTCTAAATTACCCCCTATGTGCAAGGAATGGCCGGGGTTACCATCCACTGGTGGCGAGGGATTCGAACGCAGGTCAGCAAGATTGCTAGACGAGATCGCTACCGCTGCACCACACAGCACACATATACACACAATTAGATGTAGTGATTGTCAAGTACTGATTCTAGTTTACAATATGGCATATTTCACCTAGCCAAATCATAGATCTCTTCCTCCTCCCTTATTCCCACTCCATATATCAGAGAGATATGTCACGGTACATCATCATCTATTCATTAGGCATATATCTAGACACCTGTGGGTTCATCTAAATACACATATTATTTTATATAAACATAAATCATTTTAGATGTTTTGTTTACATATTCATAATAATCTTTCCTATTTTCATTCATATAGTTCTGGTAAATGAAATACTGGTGCATTGTAACAACAACAAAAATTGGGATTATAAATTACTTTAAACAATTATTTACTATTATTAATAACAAAATAGATATAGATACATCAAACCTTGATAATATAGGTTAATTCATAATAAAGGTCTTTATTGCCAATCTATCCAAGCTGTTATTCAGTTACTATCATGTATCTACAGCAGTTTTGATGGATTTTTTTTGGTTTCACACAGCCATTCAACCTTGCAATCGTTTCAAATATTCATATGTAATATGTGTGAATTTCTTATTATATTTCACTACAAATTATATGAATTAAAATATTCTAACCTGGGGACTTTGTTCCCAGACCCCCATCTGATTGCTACATTTCCCTATCAGGATTTTCACCCAATTGTGATGATGAAGTTACTCTTCACATGGCATTTGTTGTGAAATATATTCTTCACTTATAACATTATTTTTTACCTAAGTATATAATTTCATGTATTAGTGAGTACAGCTTTTCTCTCTGATTATTATAGTGCCATTACATTTTCCTGTAAATGTATATCACAGTACTACATGCTGCACAACTTTCTTATTACGAACTTATGAAGGTACTACCACAGATGAATAGTGTCTTATTTTCAGTTATTCTGTCCACTGCAGGCAAAGTATACCTCGTACTATATGGCTTCTGGAAACAGAAACTATATTGAGCAAAAATAACTAACTCCTCCTGAACCCTACTGTACCAAAATATGCATAGGTGGTTTGGCTTTTGCTAAACACAGCAAGTTCCAGTGGAATTGGACAGAACAAAGTCAATATCTGCATGAGTTGCCATTTCTTTTGGACGCTATTATAATTGTACGTAATTACCAGTGACCACTCAATTGTATGTGGATACCAATAACACAACATAAAACAAAAACATTGTAATGAGCAACTAATGAGGTTCAATCTCATGTATATCAGCACCATCACTATTGTCAGTGGTTAATGTTACTGAGAGAGACGCATAGATAAAGGGAAACGGGCACTGCCATCTTATTGAGCATAAGAAATAGAGTCATAAACAACATAAAGGTACATTTGCAGTGGCCTCACATTTACCACAAATTGACAAAAATATTCAGTGCATGTCACCGCTCAGAGACTAAGTCCACAACAGTCACATAGCCAGAGTTCTTAATGTAGCCTTTTCTGCAAGTTGACACAAAGTGCTAATAAAGGGAGGTACAGGGTGGGGCTTGCCCCCTCTCTAGGGAATTAATAAAAGATCTGTGGGACAATATATAGTATAAGTTAGTGGCAGAGTTGGGTAATAAAACCTAAATGAAATGATAGGATAATAGAATCCAAGACAAAGTTCTTCTATGACAATATGTGTGCAAATGCTTCCCAAGGGCACTATAAGTAAAAGAAGTGAGATCCCCCAATTTTGGCTACGTCTCTCATCTTGTTTACATGGCAAGGGTGAATTCTAGACGCATATACTACCACAAGGGGTCCAGGGGGCGTAGACCCCTGGCTGGGCGTATATACTACCACGGGGTCCATGGAATATATACCATGGTGTTAGGTTAGGTTGGACGTTGGGTTACGACGTTTTGTTTAACAACCACGGGGGTCCTGTTTTACCCCATAATTTCCCTGATATACCTCATTCCCTCCCCTGCTATCAGGACTATCAAATCAAGACTGTCATGTCGATGGAGATCATATCTCCTCAACGATTCATTTGCACGAGGAACAATGCCTAGAATCATTGAAAGCAGTGGATTTCATGCAGAAAAATATCAAAATTGTTTCGAAAGTAACCCATCTTCTTCCTTTTTCTTTTACGTATAGCAGCCTTGGGAAGCATTTGCACACATATTGCCATAGAAGAACTTTGTCTTGGTTTGTATTGTTCTATCATTTCATGTAGGTTTTATTACCCAACTCTGCCACTACCTTATACTACTTAAACTACTACTAAACTACTTACTACCACTACCTTATACTACTTACTACTACTGCCACTACCTTATACTACTTATACTACCTTACACTGCTTTTGGGTTTGCAGGATACCCTGGCCTGGGACTTGTCTCCTGAGTGCCCCTCTGGGTGACAAATACCCTGTCAGTTTATCGAATGTGCGCGTAAAGTAATTCCGAAAAAGCATCCTTAATCCTAATCCACAGAAGGGATGCTAAAAGAGAAATGAAGGAGAAGAAATACGCGAGAAGGAATTGATAATTGGAGAACGCGAATACATAGGACATATAATACGGCAATGAAGGAAAATAACGACATAAAACAACACCTTAAAAAGAAAACCGAAGGAAAAGAGCTAGAAAAGGGGCAAGGAAGAGGTAAGGGTGAAAAGGCAAAAACAAACCCACTATTGAAAAAAAAAACAAGAGAAGAGAGACAAATGCTGAATTTACCTCCTCGAGCTCATCGTGATATCATGGATTTGAGAAGACCTGTGTTGTTCTTGAGCTTCGTGACCTTTTCTAGCGGCGAATTCCCTTCCTTGAGGCCCGAAGGAAACAAACAAACAAACACCAACAAACACTAGTGACATCTATCCTCCAGGCAAAATGTCGACAAAGGTGATTTATATGAAACAAAGGAATATATCTAATGTTTTTTTTATATTATTATGATGTATATATTTTTTTGTTATGATACGGTTTTTAAAGCTGAAAAGGTGATAGAATAGATGTATTTTAATATGCGCAATTTAACCTTCTTTTATTTATTGAGAATCGTCAGAACCACTTAATGGATGGGTTCACTAACTGATTAAAGGTCAATTTAAGATAACATAGAAGACAGTAGATGAAGATATTTTATTTGCATAAGTTACTCCTTAAGAAAAAAAACATAATTGATTTTATGCGTCGACTTGCCTCTGTTTCGTACAGTTTAAGCACAATTCACTTTTTCAAGGCAGTGAAATAATAAAAAAAACAGATATTCTACTAGAATTCCTTAGAGCAACACGGAATACTGGGGGAAGTAAATATATGAGAAGAAAGAAGAAGAAGAAGGAAATATATATGGGTTTTCCGTCGTTGCGCTTCCCTCTGTTCACTTGTCTCGGTCTTTGTTTACATGATCAGCTGAGGCACGAGGGCGGGGCGAGAGAATCCCTTTTCCGGTTTCCCTTCTTATTTCTCTTTTTCCAGGCATGTTCGGCGGAGAGGAAGATTTTTTTGATGATGATGTGAGTCGGTAGAAGAAGTTCGATGCCAATGTGGTTTGTTCAGTTTGTATTAATTATTTTGTCCAATATTTCAGTGGGTGATGAAAGTATCCTTTGGCTACTAAGTCAAAGTGTTTCTGTTTTAATTTGTGATCCTGGTTAAGAACTCACACACAGACACAAACATACAAATAGACACATACTTCTTCTTCTTCTACTACTACTACTGCTACTGCTATTACTATTACTACCACTGCTACTACTGCTACTGCCACAATTACTACCCCTACTACTACTGCTACTGCTAATGCTACTGCTATTACTATTTCGACTACTACTATTTCTACTATTTCTACTATTACCATTACCATTATTATCACTACTACTACCACCACTACTACTACCACCATCACTACTGCAACCACTACTATTATTACTACTTCTACCTCTATTACTACCACAATCACTACTACTACCACAACCACTATTACTACCACTACTACCACCATTAGTACTACCACAACTACTACCACCACTGCTACCACTGCTAGTAGTACTGTACTACCTCCACCACCACTAGTACTACCACTACCACTACCACTACCACTACCACTACCTCTACCTCTACCTCTACCTCTACCTCTACCACAATTACTACTACTACTACTACTACTACTACTACTACTACTACTACTACTACTACTACTACTACTACTACTACTACTACTACTACTACTACTACTACTACTACTATTATTACCACCACTATTACCACCACTACTACCACCACCACTACTACTACCACCACTACTACTACCACCACTACTACTACCACCACTACTACTACCACCACTACTACCCCCACTACTACTACCACTACTACTACCACTACTACTACTACCACTACTACTACCACTACTACTACTACCACTACTACTACCACTACTACTACCACTACTACTACCACTACTACTACCACTACTACTACCACTACTACTACCACTACTACCACCACTACTACGACCACTACTACTACCACTACTACTACCACTACTACTACCACTACTACTACCACTACCACTACCACTACCACTACCACTACCACTACTACTACTACTACTTCCATCACTACTACTACCACCACTACTACTACTACTACCACTACTACTACTACTACCACTACTACTACTACCACTACTACTACTACCACTACTACTACAACTACTACCACCACCACCACCACTATCACCACTACTACTACCACTACCACCACTACTACTACTACTGCTACTACTACAGCATGTCTGTAAGCCATTAGACCACATGGCTCCAAGGCAATTTAGAACTATCACACCAGCGAAGGCTTAGATGACAATTATATCATCTGATACTTTCAGTTCGCTTCCAGAAGTCATCCATACAAGGTCACCACCAGCCTCTAAGAATTTAGCATGTCTGTAAGCCATTAGGCCAATAGACAACATGGCTGTTTGCCATGTGGCTCTAAAGCAATTTAGAACCATACACCAGTGAGGGCTTAGATGACAAATATATTTTACCTCATCTGACCCTTTCAGTTCACTTTCAGAAGTCATCCTGACAAGGTCACCACCAGCCTCCATCCCTTCCAGGGCTGGCTGGCCGGACACGTGACACCGCGATCAGCTCTTAGGCAATGCCTTGTGTGTTCCCTTACTGTGTTGTACTCTTCCTTAATAAAGAGTCAAGCCATTATACAACTATGACTACCCCTGCTAGCCATTGTATTAAGGTCCTGAGACTGTTACAAGTGCTACCACTTCTACTACTACTACAAGTGCTACCACTTCTACTTCTACTACAAGTGCTACCACTTCTACTACTACTACAAGTGCTACCACTTCTACTTCTACTACAAGTGCTACCACTTCTACTACTACTACTACTACTACTACTACTACTACTACTACTACTACTACTACTACTACTACTACTACTACTACTACTACTAAAACTGCTACTACTGCTACTACTGCTACTATTGCTACTATTGCTACTACTGCTTCTACTACTGCTTCTACTACAGCTTCTACTACTGCTTCTACTACTACTTCTACTACTACTTCTACTACTACTACTACTACTACTACTACTACTACTACTACTACTACTACTACTACTACTACTACTACTACTACTACTTCTACTACTACTTCTACTACTACTACTACTACTACTACTACTACTACTACTACTACTACTACTACTACTTCTACTACTACTTCTACTACTACTACTACTACTACTACTACTACTACTACTACTACTACTACTACTACCACTACCACTACTACCACCACTACTACTACCTCCTCCTCCTCCTACTACTACTACTACTACTACTACTACTACTACTACTACTACTACTACTACTACTACTACTACTACTACTACTACTTCTTCTTCCACCACCCAACATGAGCTCTAGGTTAGCAAGGGAAGCTCGAATGTAAAGTAGGGAAATATAAGGAACGGGGGAAGAAGAAGAAAGTTCAAAGAACTGCCTTCAAAAAAAACCCTGAAAACTAAGCCATCTATTCTGACATTTATGCCATATATGTCACCTCTCACACAACAGAATTTGATTAGGTGATAAACATTTGTCATGTTGCCAGTTGCATTCCTCTTACTTTGGTTATTTCCATGCAAATTTGTCTTATATTAGGTATCTGTGTCACAGTACAACCCACCATAAGATATCAGAAGCCAGCTAGGATATTGTATTCCAAAATACTGTGTACCATTCAAAGAAATAACCAATACAGTAAACCAGCTAGCCATCACCCACGGCCACCCCCATTATGTCACAGCAGTGGGTGGAGTCGGTGGCCTGTCTTGCCTCCAATCATGAGACAGGTTTTGGGTGTTGTGAGACTTCATGCTACAACAAAATTACCACTGGAAAAGATGGCAAAAGTGTGTCTCTTTCTTGATACACCCTGCCAACCAATCAGAGCATGATATATTTCATGTAGTCTCTGATAGTGATTTATATTTTGATTAATTCTGAATCGCTTTGAAGTTTCTAGAGATAAATTTTTTAAAATGTAAAGGTGCATAAAATGTTTCTGTGCCTTTTTAGCAGTACGTCAAATACATGTTCACTCAATATGGGTGGCATTTGAAGTCAATCATGAAGGTTGCTTGAATGATGTGGTAAGAGCTTATGGCCTGTCTCACCTCTTATCATGAGACAGATTTTTGGTGTTGTGAGACATTGTATGAAACCCTAATTGCCAGCCTTGCAGATCAAGTGAAAAAGACAAGGAACACCACCCTCCATAACTCACAAATCCATAGTTAAGGAAGCTAGCACTGTACAGATGAATGTACTCAAACATGTTCTCACGTGAAACTATGAATATCTTTTAAAAAGATAGTTTAAAAGTGGAAACAAGGAGAAGAGAGATAACAAAAGTAAATAACAAATAAGTATTAAAACCCAGTCTGCCATTGGAAAGAAAAAAAGTGCAATGAAAGGTCAGAAGTAATCACAACCTCACAACTTCATCTTTGACACTGGTTTGAAGAAAAGTAGTAGTGTGGTAACACTTCACATAGGAAATATGACACTGAGGAAAAAACAAGGTGTGACATACACATCATTTCCAACATCATCATATTGTCATCACATTATCATTGTTAACATCATCATCAAATTTAAAATAATCATTATCATATCCATGTCATTATCACCACCACCACCACCCCATCTTCATCATCATCATCTTCTACTCTACCTCTTTCTTTATCCTCTTTTATTTACATTTATATATTTAGATGGTAGTTTTACTTAGTAAATTAATTTTTTTTTTTTTTTTGACAGGATTTCTTGCAAGATGTGTTACAGATCGAGACAGCTGGAGATAGCTTGAATACAAATGAGTCTGTATCTCAAAACTTGCCAAATGCAAGTTTTCAAGATAAGAAAGTTTGTGAAGAAGTTTTAAAAAAACAGTTTGTTCCACAAAAAAATGTATGCGCCAGCAAGTACGTAACTGATGACAGTTTTGATTTTAGTGACGATTTTCCTTTTGAACTGGGTAATGAGGGTACTGTCAGCGGCCAACAATCGCAGGGTGATAACATGCCACCAGATTCTACTTTCTCATCTCCTACACAGCACGAAGATGGAGATGGTAACTCTATCAACTCAAATAAAATTAGTGATGGAAATGTAGATTTTAGATCAAAAATCCTCAAGTCACTGAATGTAACAAAGAAATGTAATCCTTTGTCACAAGATAGCTTCAGAACCAAGGTTCTCCTGGAACCTGTGAAAAATAACAGTATATCCACTTTACGGCCAGAAAAGAGGAAGGTGCCACATGATGTATCTGGGAATGACAAGACCTGTGCCTCCCTTAGCAAAAAAGCTCACTATGGTGAAAATAATGAATTTACATTGGTGCCACAATCATCATTACCAGTGAATAATAACCAGCAAGCTAAAGGGAAGAATTTTGCTGTATATTCCACACCCATCAAACCAGATGCACCCAACATCTGCACCATCAGGAGCCCTGGGGGACCACTGATCCAGAGAAGGAAGTTCCCAGGACCAGCAGGGATCTTACCTGACCTGGTAAGGTTTTGGCTACTTTGAGAATTAATATATACTTTATTTCAGTTGTGTTTAATTGTATATAAAATGCATGCAATCTACCCGTGCAGGATACATTGTTACAACATATCCTAGATATTCAGCATTTATTTGTCCTCTTCCATATCCAGATGGTATTGTCTAAAGATGTAGGGAAATTGAGTGTAATCATTTACTAAAACTTAGTAGAATGTATATGTATACCTATTGAAATGCATGTTATTTGGTAAAAATTTAAGGTTAGAGAAAGATAGTATCCCCCCCAAATTGTTTAAGAGAATAGAAAGATGCGATATAACTAGCTGTTTAGTCAGTGTGATTGCAGATTGTGTTACAAGTTCAAAAAGTTTGACCTGTTCAGATGAAGGTTTTAAGCTTCAATTTGTGTTCCACTGTTTGTATTCTGTTTTTGATGAACTGTGAATCTGTTCCCTGCTCGGAATAGGAGAGGATTTCTAAGATGGGGGGGGGGGGCAAGATAACTAGTGGTACCTTCACTGATATGCTTTGAAATCATATGCATCCCCTGGTGTGATACACAATTTTATTATTTTCTAAATAACAATTTTTGCAGTTTTGATCATTCCTTCTTATAGTACATGTGCACACAATATTAGGCAATAAAGATTACCTGTCTGATTGATGTGTAGTGTAATTATACTTTTTATTTGCTTTATTCACTTACAACACAGTACAGAATATGGAAGTAAATAACAGTATTGATAATAACTATAAAATTAAGTGTATAGTTCAGGACTACATAACAGAAGTGAACATATGCAGGAGGAGAGAGGCAAACAAAGGGTTTATCCTCAAGTTTAGGGAAGAAGATGCTGATAGGAAACAGTTATTATTGGCTTTGTAAGGGTCTATTCAATCTGTTGGTTATTATAGTATGGTCTCCTCAGCTTAACAGGTGAGGCTCTTTTAGTGTGTCTTTAACTGTTTAGACTATATTTAGAGATCTTTTGTGTATAAGATGTTAGAGTTGGGATGAAAGTGATAGCTTTACAGAGTATCAGTTTATTGATTTAAAAAAATAATTTATTTCAAGGGATCCAGTGCAACAGAATCTTCTGTACTAAAACTACAAGAGAAAGCTACTCCAGTTCCTGTGCCTCAGGTAAAAAAATTGTTGTTGTTGTTACTTTCAAGGAGCATGCTGTTGATATCCAGCTTCATTAACCCAATGCCAAGGGGCATGATGTGTACGTATGTGCTATGCCCACTGTGAGTTCCTTGTTTGATTGTTTTTACGCATAGATGGCAACACTTGTACTAACTCACCAATGAGCCAATTACAAGTACTGCCTGTCTTGCCCATTTACCCTTTTCTTTGATTTATGAAAACATTTCACGTTATCTTATTTTGCTGTTACTAATGTTTATAACATTATAGTAATTATGATATAATAAAAATAACACCATCGATATTCATAGCACTAGTAAAAAATATATTTTTCCCACCAATTCAAATCAGGTAAGGCCACAAGTTCTATTAATTGACTCCTCTGTGGCTAAGCACTTGCAGAACCATCTACGTGCGTCTGTGAGATATTTCACAAAAAGTATTGAAAAAGAGCTCAGCATTTCCCCCATTTTTTTTATTCATTTTCCCCGATGGCATTGGGTTAACTTCATTTCACTCTGAAAAAAAAGAAATTATCATCAGATTTCATTCATTTATGATTTTTTTGTAATGTTTATGCAATGACCTTTACATTGTTTTTTTGTTTTTTTTTCTTAATATTCCTTAATTTTTTTCTCACATTTCTGTGCATTCCTTCAGTGTTGAATATTTTATTTATAGAAATTGTAGCAAACAGTTATTTTGATTTATAGTATTGAAAACAACTTTTTGAGAAATGAGGTCCTTTACCTTGACTTAAAAGTCAAGATCAGGACTCTATCAAAACTCTAAATTTACATTATAATATAAGCTAAATATGTAAGCATGTTTTCTGTTGCATCCTAAGTTCTAATTAGGCATTTGTTCCCACC